CGCCATCTTTCCCCCTCCCATTTCTACATTTCTAAATACATCTTTTTTTTTTTTTTTTTTAGATTTTATTCATTCATTTGAGAGAAACAGAGCATGAGCGGACGGGGGCAGGGGAAGGAAGCAGAAGGGGAGGGGAAGGGACACGCAGACTCTGCACTGAGAGCAGAGCCCAACACAAGGCTTGATCCCCAGACCCCAAGATTGAGTCTGATGCTTAACCGACTGAGCTACCCAGGCGCCTCTCTAAATACACCTGTTAATGGCTTATCAGGCAGTCCTTTGAAGCACAGTTTATTTGTGACTTAAAGTTCAGGTCATGTGCCCCAAGTCTGTCACATTTATCATCTTTAGCCCAAGATACTAAAAATCCTACCCCTTGATTTTGGCTCTGGGATATGTTTTAAAGATTTTCAAAAGCACACAGGCTCAGGAGGCATGTCTGGTTTATAACGCAGCAGGCCTCCTTGTGTTAGATGTGTCAGATACTGTCGTCAGCTGTGTCTGCCAAGTCGGGATATGTGCTTTCCTCCTAGCAAGCAGCCACGAAGGAGGCCCATAAAGAAATCAGATGACATACCTGGCGATGGCTGAAAGCAGAATGAAACCAGCTGAGCAGAATATTGCATGGAAAGTGGGACTGAGAATGGTATCTGACCTGCCAGGAGAGTGCAGGGCAGGAGAGCAGGCCATTGTGTTCCCAACTGCTGCAACCAAATTTGCCATCAAAAAAATTCAGACCCCAGAAACTAACCCAGCAAGGCAGTGTCTTTGCTCACTCATTCTTTAAAAGTCCTGTAACCAACCAGTCCTATGCCTCAAGCCCCCATCTCACCAATACGTATGTGATTTCACAGGTCAGATATTCTGAAATGACTTCCCCAACTATGATTGCCTCATTATACATAATCACCTATTTATAACATTCATCAAGAAATGTGTTTTGTCAGGGCGCCTGGGTGGCTCAGTCAGTTAAGCGTCTGCCTTCGGCTCAGGTCATGATCCCAGGGTCCTGGGATTAAGCCCCGCATTGGGCTCCCTGCTGAGTGGGGAGCCTGCTTCTCCCTCTCCCTCTGCCTGCCGCTCCCCTTGCTTATGCTCTCACTCTGGCTCTCTGTTAAATAAATAAAATCTTTTTAAAAAATTTTTAAAAAAAAAATATGTTTTGTCTTTATGGGTATGGCACTATGGGCAAGATGGAAAGTGCAGGATTTGTCTCAGCAGGGATGGGGTGGTAGGGTGGCCCTCATGTGTGAGCAGTGCCAACACTAGGCTAGGCTGTGGGACAAGTTCATCTTCAGTGTTCTACCAACCCCTCTCCTTTATGCAACTCCATTCTCCCAGCTTTTATTTTTTTTTTTTAAAGATTTTATTTATTTATTTGACAGAGAGAGAGATAGCGAGAGCAGGAACACAAGCAGGGGGAGTGGGAGATGGAGAAGCAGGCTTCCCACCGAGCAGGGAGCCCGATGTGGGACTTGATCCCAGGACCCTGGGATCATGACCTGAGCCGAAGGCAGACGCTTAACGACTGAGCCACCCAGGCACCCTCTCCCAGCTTTTAGATTCAACAGAAGCCAGCTGCCAGCTGGGTTCACCAGGAGGCACACCCGGAGGTGGAGTTCTGGTATAAGATGTTTATTAAGGAATGCCCTTGGGACCCAATGCCCGTAGAAGAGAAGGAATTTTGCAGGACTAGGTAAAATGAGAAGTCCAGCTATGATGCAGACCCACTAATAAGACTTGGATGATGTCAGAGAGCTCTAGAACTAGGGTTTTCCCAAGTTAAGATGCGATGGCCAGGCCTTTATACAATTACATCACAGTCACTGGATGTGGATTGCCCTGAAAGGATGTGGTAAATGTGGGTAGGTAACTCTCAGCAAATGAGGCAATACTCAAAGAGATGAGTGAAGGTTGGGGCATCAAGTCCTTCACAGAACAGGGATCTGAGCAACACAGTGTCCACCAGAAGGCCCCTAGCTGGGAGTCTCCCTCTCTGTTATTTAACCTTCGGTATACTGAGCGGTAGCATTACCTCCCTTAATTTACAGATGAAGAAATAAAGACTACGCAAGCTCACCTAGGCCCTCCAGCTGACCCTTGATGTTCTGGCAGGAATGTCAAGTCTACAGGGCCAGGCCCAAGAGGGGTAGGAGGTGTCCATGCTATTGGTTGGTAGAGGAGGAAACACATAGGAAGGTGACCACCCACTCATCACTTTTTCTATATCCCTCCCAGCTGGCCTACTAATTTTTCAAATTGTGTATTTTGCACTGCTTTCTTTAGCAGCTTTTTTTTTTTTTTTTTTTTGAGAGAGAGAGAGAGAACACACACATGTGCAGAAGTGGGGCAGAGGGGGGGAGAGAGAGAGAGAGAGAGAGAATCTTAAGCAGGCTCCATGCTCAGCGTGGAGCCCGACATGGGGCTCCTATCTCACGACCCTGAGATCATGACCTGAGCTGAAATCAAGAGTCAGGACACTTAACTTTGAAAAGCACTGTGGAAAAGGCAAAGTTTGGGCCAAAGAGCTTAAGAGAAAGCCATCCCTTCTTTTGTTCTCCTAAACCCCAAGCTCTGCTTCTGACTCTCGTCTGTTTCATATATCCCACCACAGGTCTTGAGCTCTGCACCTTTCCTAGCTCCCCTTCCAGGCAACAAAAAGCAACAGCCTGTGACCCAACCCCTCCCATCTGTGTTCCATTAACCTGACACAGTAGATGTTGATGTGTCTATCTCTCTTCTAGGTATTGGTCATTTTTAAATAGAGGCTTCTCAAAGATAGCAAACTGACCCTGAAAATATTAACCCAAATGATGAGGTTAAGTGGCTGAGGTGAGAGAAGGAAAAACTGCGAGACAAGCAGGACCTTGTGGCATCCCACAGTTCTTTTAGCCAATCTTCTATTTAGGTTGCTTAAAAATGACTGGTGTTGGTGTGGGGATTTGTTATGTTATGGCTTAACCCCTGAGGTATTCAGGTAACATTCACCATGTGCCTGTCAATGTATTCAGGCCCAACAATAAAGACCAAAATTCAATCCTGAGTTGCGTGATGGCACGGTACTTTCCAGTAAGTTTCAGGATGTCCTTCTCATTAGGGAAAACAATCCATTATTGGATTTCAGGGTTTAGGATCTCACCAGGCCCTGAGGATTTTTCTTTCAACTCCAATTCACATGATTTCATGTCACTCCCACAGCTGATCCAGACAGTGAGTGCAGTGGACCAAGATGACCCACACAGTGGTCAGCACTTCTACTACAGCTTGGCTCCGGACTCTGCTAACAACCCCAACTTCACCGTTAGGGACAACCAAGGTAATCAGGTGGAGAGGCGACTACCAGTGCTTTTCTATAGCTTGGGCCAGATACTTTTGGTTACTACACCATGCAAACAGTGTCAAAGGTCACCTGCTCTGTAGTAGCAGTGAAGACATTAATGCTAATTTGTAATGTCTTTAAAAGTTTTGTTTCAACAGATCAAAGACAAAGAATGTCCTCTGCTGATTCTGAAACTTTCAGTTAATCAGTTCACAAACGTTTTGGAGTTGGCTCTGTGGGAGACGGCATGCCAGGCACACAGGCAAAAGCCTTCCTTCACTCCCACAGATAACAGCCATGCCTGTATGCTCTGTAACTATCGGAAGAATCTGAGAAAAATGACAGAAATTGAACTAGATAAAGAGAAAAACCTGAGGGAACATTTCTGAGCAAGCATCAAAGGGGATAACAGTGAAAAGCTAGCAGAACAAAAGGGAGAGAAAGGCTACGATGACAAAGAACAAACACAGGATCACTAAGTGTAGCTTTGGCACTGAAACAACTTTATCACTTTAGAATGATTTTAAAAAGACAGAGCCAGGTGGGGTTCCCTATTCCAGAAAGCACTCCCCACTACCACTTTGCTGGAATGGAATTCTAGACCCCTCTTTTCCAATAAGCATTCTGATTGACTAAGAAATGTATAGACCTAGCATACTCTTCACTGGGCAGAGATGGGAAAAGGAGGGACTTCTGTTCTCGCATCAAATAATTTTCAAAGAAAGATCAGAAAAAAATCATTTAAATCTGCTAAGTGAACCCCCCTCTGTTGCTAACTCTGCTACTTGCTGTCTGACCTTGGGGAGAGAGGTCATCACTTCTCTGGGCTCTACTAGCCTCATTCTTATTCCAATTCTAAAATACTAATTGTCACTGTGTAACAATCTAAACAAAGGGTAACAAAAAGTCATGATTAGGCCTGTCTGGTCTTAGTCTCAAACATCAATTATTTGAGACTTAAGGTATTAATTTCACCCCACATGATATCCTGCCATTAACACTTGAGACTATTAAACCTGTTTTCTTTTCAATGGAAAACATTCCTCCAAGTCTTTCCTTTAACCTTCTACATGTTATCATAAAATCACTCTGATAATTCTAGAAGGGAGGGTAATATAAATCATAACAACAGAAGTACGACAATTAAACAACCCGATCTTTTTATTGGGTCAAATTTTGAACTATTCATTTATCTGCTTCACAGGGCAATCCTTCCTACAAAAAGTGGTTTCAGCCCCCCTCAGGACTGGTTTTACAGTGGAAACCAAGGGTGCGGGGGGTCGGGGGGATAATACATTATACTGTTTCTTCAAATTTTTAGTCAAGTGTCACTCTATTCCTTCACTCTGATATTTGTCAGAATCAACACAGAAACAATATGCAGCAAAATGCTGCAAATTTATTAAAGATGACTTTGGACACCAATTCATGGAGCCAATGCTTTAAAAAGATGGGCCACTGGAACATGATACTATAAAAAGAAACGACTCATTTCTGGGAAGGTTTTCCAAAACGAAAGTCAGCACATCTTCAATAGAAGAATGAACCCTTAATCTCCTCATGACAATTTATCCCATGAGTATTTTCTATGGAGGCTCATTAAAAAATTGACCAACATCTGATTTGGTGGATCTACTATCAGGACCCCAACTCCCATGCCCAAAACATGATATCCTTTTATGAACACAACAAGGCACTATCTCAAGCAGAGTGTTTCTTTTTTTTTTTTAATCCCCGAAGCATTATTAAAAGGATTGTGTGTATATAAGCATTTTGCAGTTTCAAACACATTTTCCCATACTTTGCTTTATTTGATATTTATAATAACCCTCTAGGGTTTTGAGGAAGTTACTAACCCCTCTGATTCTCACTGTCTCGCTTGATAGATAAGGAAAGAAAGCAAATGGCCCACAATCAGAAAGTGAGTAAGCATTAACGCTGGGACTAGAAGATGGAGCCTGTTTTAGCCACACACACACACACACATACACAAAAGAAAGAAGTTTTGTCTCATCTTGGAAACAAATGTTGTTTCCAAATGGGTTACTAAAGCCCTACTCATCACATTTAACAAAAACTCTGCAAGTGGCTACTCTGCAAGTGGCCAGAACCCTTCTAAGAAGAAATCAGCAAGGCAATGCTCTGATCTTTTTTCTTTTTCTTTAACCTTAAATAATTCTGAGATCAAAAAACATGATGTAATACTTTTATGCAATTCAGCTCTGGTCAAGCTTTCTAAAAGTCTTACAACCTGGCCTCAATTAAACTGAAAAATAAAAAATAACACAGATTTGTGTTTGAGAAAAACTTGGTTTCTGGAAAAATAAAATTAACACTGTGGAACAGAATTAATAGTACTTAGCTACTAAATCTGGAAAAACAGGTGGGTCGTACAGTAGGTAGAAATATTAATATAATCCTCAGGTCGGCAACCTGTTGCTATCTTCCTCCACAGAGAAGCAAATACAAGAAGGGGCCCGTACCAAAGCAAGAGAGGATTTCCATTGGCTGGATAATTTTCAAGAGTTAATATCACTACACTAAATAAGCAGTTTACACAGCAAAATGGAAGAAATGTATACTTGGGAGTCAGAGACACCAGAGTTCAAATCTCAGCTCTGCTACTAAGTTAGTAACTTTGAACAAATTATATCATTTCTCTAGGGCTTAACTTACCCCCTGTAAAAGGGTCAGATTATCACTCTCTCATCAAATGTGAAAATTAAATGAGCTGCTGTGCACATAAGCACTCAGTAAACAATCATTGCTAATTGTGAAAAGGCAGGGCAAGGAGAAAGTGGAAAAGCAAATGAAGGAATAACATTCATCAGAACAGGCTAGCCGATGCTGCGGGACAAATGACTCCGAAATTCCAGTGGCTTAACACAACTAAAATAAGTTTCTTTGCTCACATAAAACCAACCGCAGGTCTGAGCAACAAGGACAGCTGGTGTCCGTCCATGTAGCTCAGTGTCCCAGGCTGCCTGGTTCTCCATCTTAAACGTTCTTGTACAGTATCACACCAAGGCAAGAGAACACAGAGAAACACATACCAGCTGTTACATGCTTCTGCCTGGAAGTGACACAAATCGCTTTTGCTCACTTTTCATGATGAAAAGCAAATCATACAGACACGCCAAAATTCAAGAGGGTAGAAAAGTATAATCCTTTATTATGTCCAAGAAGGGAAGGAGAACCAGAAATACTGATAATTAATAATGTTTACTTTGGTTAGGCTCTCAGAAGTTTTTGTGAAGTTCTAGACTCTTCCTTGTGAAATGTAAACCACATCCAGAGGACCTTCCATGTTGATGTTAGCTCTGAGAGTCACTGCTTGCATGTCCTATCACATCTCCCAACCTTTTCCTCTACTGAAAATGATCTGAACTTTGCAAAAAATATGACTTATAATTCAAACCCACTGGAAGAAACCTGAAAACACAAATTAAAAAAATAAAAGATCCCAGAACATTACATTAGGCAAATATAAATATAAATACACACACACACCCCCAACCTTTGTGGAAACACATCAAATAATTTTGCTACTCCCTTTAAAGCTGGAGGGGAAAAAAAAAAAAAACTAGTATTGCTGATCAGGAATGAATTTCTCCAAGTTCTTACTGTGTCACCTCAGACCACAAGTAGGGAGAAATAACAGGGTGTATCACGTGATTAGGGGATTTCAAATAAGCTTCTGCTAAATGAGCAGGTCCTTCAGAAAGCACAGGAGTTGGTGACTGCATTTGAGAGGAATAAAAGAAAACAGCAAAAGCCGTGAATTCCAGCCAAAGTGGCAAAAATAAGCAATCTGCCACAGCCAAGTGGGCTCCTCAGCATTCTTTTCCTGGAGGCACAAAGCAGCCCCAAGGCCTTGGAAAGCTGATGAGCGGGGAACAAACAGGGACCACAAGTGGCCAGTGATTGCTCATTCCTATCAAGCTTTCACAGGAACATTTCAGTTAGATCTGAAGTCTAACAGTTCGCCCTGGGCACTTTATGTCACAAAGGGTAAAACAGACTCTCAAAAAGGGTTTCTCTCCTAGGCCTCAGGGTTTTGCCTAGAAGCGAGCAAAAATCAAAAATCCATGGTTTCTGAATTCAAATGCTGATCCAGACAGAGCAGAGGCGGCTGGCTGTAGCTGACCGCCTCCAGGGAACGTTTGAAGGTCCCTCTCCGTCCTTCCCACCTCTCATCCCTGCCCTCTTGCTCTCCTCAGTCCAAGAAATTAATTCACTTGGGGGTTCTTCCATTTTCTTCTTCCCTCCCACTTTTCCTCTCCCTTTTTTCAACCCTGGAATCCCTGTCTTCTTCAGATAACACTGCCCGGATTCTCACCAGGAGGTCTGGCTTCCGGCAGCAGGAGCAGAGTGTCTTTTACCTGCCCATCCTGATAGCAGACAGCGGGCAGCCGGCGCTGAGCAGCACGGGCACGCTGACCATCCAGGTGTGCAGCTGTGACGACTTCGGCCACGTCCTGTCCTGCAGCCCCGAGGCCTACATGCTCCCCGTCAGTTTGAGCCGGGGCGCTCTCATCGCCATCCTGGCCTGCATCTTTGTCCTCTTAGGTGAGCAGGTGCCTCCCTTCTCTTCTGTGGGGCCCCGCAAGTGCTTACGTAGCTACCATTCTAACACGGCTGCTCAGAACCGGTTTTCTACACCATGCTTATTGAAAAGGTGGCAGAGTAAGGCGGGGAAAGAACACAGAAACTGAAGATAGTCCCTTCCTTCAAGGAACTCATGGCCTCTTTGGCCAGACCAAAGCAAATATATTTATCAAGCATCTATTACGGGCCGGGGTACCATTCGAGGTGCTGGGATTAATAAGACAGACACGTCCCAGCCTTCACGAAGCTTACTTCAAGCAAAGCAAGTTCATTTTGACACCACAGAATCAACATGACAATTTGGGGCAGGATATGATAAACACCTCTTCTAACCCCTTCATTTCAGATAAGTAGTAGCTAAATCACAAAGACAGAGTGACAGGCCCAAAGCCAAGTGTCAGAGGCAGAGCCAGAAGTGAAATGCAGGCAGAGCCTACACTGTGCATCCCTGTATCTGAGTGGTAAGGCTCTTCTCCTAAATGTTCATCCCCCAAATTCTGGAGGTGGTAGGTGTTACAGAGACGAGAAGAAGGACAGGGTATCCCGAAGGGACAGGAGACAAGGGTAGGTGCCATTTTAAACAAGGTGGTCAGGGAAGGCCTCCCTGATAAGGAGACCTTTGAGCAGAGACCTGAAAGAAGTGACAGAGTGAACCCCGTGGCTATCTGGGGGAATAAGCTATTTGGGGGCATTAGCACCCCTCCGAGGTCCTGTGGCCATCTAACAAGGAGCAGTGACTACACAGGGCTGGTGTCCTACTGCTGGTGACATAAAAAGATGTGCTGACAGGCTGGTGGGAGAGCATTAGTGAGGGAAAGGATCCTTTAGTCCTCTGCTCAAATCATACAGCAAGGCAGCCACCCACCTCCCTTGTACATAAGGCTATTGGAGCAATCGTTTTTTAACTCAACACTCAAAAACAAACAATGAAACACCTAAACTAACTCTGGAAACCACCAAAAATATCTGTACACATATCCCAACTCTTCTGATTGAATTCATTCATTGCACACATATTTTGCTTAGAAAAAAGCAGACTTAAGATAGTAATATCATTCAATATGAAAGAAATCCTAGCATTCTATGAAGGAAAAGAATACAGCCCTGGGGATTTAAATTAGAATAGACATGCAGATATCCACAGAACCCCTTGATCCCAGGTTTACCTATGCACCAGGAGACTGAGTCAGACCAAAGAAAGAAAGGTCCTGACTGTAAAATGTCAGCACTTGATTGAATTTCTAGGTAGGTCTGTAAAATATGCCTTTCAAAAAATACTTACAAATATCACATATGGTTTGATTTTGTTGTTTTAGTTCAATGCTATATGAAGAGAGAAGTAATATAAATAAGTAACTTTTCTAAATCCTCAGATCCCTGGATCAGAGAATTGTTATGCTTTCTGGTCCCTGTCTACATTAACAAGTAACACCCTCCTGCAATTCCCTGAATGTCCATAAGATGGCGTCGGGAGTCCTTGAGTGCAAAACAGGATAAACTACAAGCAGCCTCTAAAGAAACTAGCTCCTTGGAGAAATTTCCAGCCTGGCTGTTCCTACTTCTATCTTTGGAAAATGTCTACATTATAAGTTCACCCTTGCCCACAAAGAGAAAAAAAAGCCATCATTACAGAAAGATTGATTTAAAAAGACTGGCACAGAGAGGCTCTCAAGCTAGAAATGGTGTGCAAGGGGCAATTTATATTGTGCCTCCCAAACCCATTATGTCTTATCTTTTGAATTGCACAGAATAAATAGACAATTTTCAGGAGCTAAACCGAGCAGAGCTTTATATGCAACTTTATATAAAATCCTCATAGTTTTAGGCCCTCTTATTTCTAAGAATGCACATCCCAAATAAAATATAATTCATAAAACTGCATAAGATTGAATTATAGCTGATTCGCCAACAAAATACTACATTTTGTGGACAATTAAATAAACATACTAATTTTGACTTTATAGGGTTTTTTTTTTCATGTCTTTAGTATATATCTAGTTCCTAGAAAATCTCATAGGCCCTATGAACTGTGCCCGTAATACCTAAAGAATAAACACCCCTAAAACGGATTCTTTTCTGTCAGGGAAGACTTTCAGTTGAACAGGACCATGTTTCCCAGAATCTGATTTTCGGGGCATTACCCAATACTTGTTATTTAAATCAGATTATCTAAAAAATAAGATATATGTAAGATATTTGTAAGATAAATATAAGATGGACCAGTTCTATAAACTGCCTAATTCTATCATCAGAATTCTTTCCAGCAGATATCCAAAGACTTTTCTAATTTTGCTTCATAGCATTTTCTTAAATACCACCCCTACCATTCTAATATCATCTGTGTGAAGGTTTTTCATTCTCCCCTAGGAAGAATTACCCAGCCCTGCCTCTGTATTCTCTTTGCAACACTTATAACCCTAGGATAGCCCTTATCACTGCCTGACTTGTATTAATCATCAGTGTCTATAATCTCCTTAGATTACAAGTTTATAAGACCAAAAATCATGTCATATTCAATAGTTTCTCTCTTGTTTTGCATAGTGCCTAAAAATATTTGAGTTTAGTAACTGTTTATTGAACCCCACAAACACAGCATGTTCACTTAAAATCCCATTTGTCCAGCCTGCATCCATCCAGATCACACCCCAGCCTCCCATACCCAGTTTAAGCCCCCAACTTCCTTAGAGCCCTATTAGTCCACTTCTCTGAAATCCCACAATCAGGCAGTTCATGGGTCGTATTTTGGCACACAGAGAAAATATACGAGAGTATATAACTGCTTCCTGTGTGTGCATTTTGTCACCCTAGCTATTTGGGAAAATACTGGGCATTAACATCATTAACTGCAATTTACAAAAAGCACATTCTACATTCAAATTTTTTAAATCATTACTGTGAATTTTTTAAGTCAGTTCATAATTTTACTAGGCGTAAGACTGAACTCCATTTTTCTCCCCTTGGTAAGCTGCAGTTTCATTTTGTAGTTGTGTCAAGTTGTTACTGTTCACTAGGTGTAACAAAGCACATCAAGAAAAAAAAAAAATCAATAGCAGTTCTACAGCTAAAACCTCAACACACTTCCTGGAAAACATTTTCAGTCACAGAGATAAACAGTTCAACGGGATTATCTCTATCTCTCCTTTAAACCCCAGTGAACACATCCTGGGAAAAAAAATACATTTGTTGGGATAAAATTTTATCCAAACCTGCAAGGGCACATCTAACAGTGTGGTGCTTCTTTGATAACATGATGAATTACATAAAATGTCCCTGCTCATTCCCTCCCTTCCATGAACATCACTGGATCCAGAGAGTCACAACCACCTCTCTAACAGAAGGCTTTCTGAGGAATCGGAGTTTATTGGAAAACAGCGATCACTTATACTCTTATTTTTTGAAAGAGGTATAGAAAGACTAAGACTGATTCATACTTAGCCTGTATGTCTCTATGCGTATGTATTAATATGTGGTTGTATTTACAGAGTAGAATCCTACTAAGATACTAATGTAAAAAAAGTAGGATTCCACCTACGTAACAAGATTTCCACATTATCAGAAATGTATACTCGTCCTTATATGGTCAGAAGACATTGTCTGATCCTCAGCATAGACTCCATGGCAGGCCGCAGTGCTCTGTGCTTAGTTAAATGGGATTTGATTTGGGGGGGTCTGGGTGGGTGTACACATACACCCACGCAATTTTAAAGCAGCAAGCTGATGCAAAGAGACTTTATATGCAGCTTCTTCTAACTGAACCACCTGGAAAAAATACAGGGCTTCATTTGCCTACAAACTCTCAATCTGACCGCGCAGAATGAGTAAGAACGAGGTGGACCCTGTGGTTTAAAATATCCAAATGCCGTCTCTGAGCTCAGCACTCAAAGAACTCTTCCCATACCTGTGGTTAATCATCGCTACTTCAAGTCAGGGCACACACAGCCAGGTCTCCTGGGTAAAGAGCCTGTCCTCTCTGTTTCCCGCAGTGCTAGTGCTGCTCATTCTGTCCATGAGGCGGCACCGGAAACGGCCGTACATCATCGACGACGAGGAGAACATCCACGAGAACATCGTCCACTACGATGACGAGGGCGGCGGAGAGGAGGACACCGAGGCCTTTGACATCGCGGCCATGTGGAACCCCCGGGAGGCGCAGGGGGGAGGCGCCCCCAAGACGCGGCAGGACATGCTGCCCGAGATCGAGAGCCTCTCCCGCTACGTGCCTCAGACGTGCGCCGTGAACAGCACGGTCCACAGCTACGTGCTGGCCAAGCTCTACGAGGCCGACATGGACGTGTGGGCCCCGCCCTTCGACTCCCTCCAGACGTACATGTTCGAGGGGGACGGCTCCGTGGCCGGGTCACTGAGCTCCCTGCAGTCGGCCACGTCGGACTCGGAGCAGAGCTTCGACTTCTTGACGGACTGGGGGCCCCGCTTCCGGAAGCTGGCGGAGCTCTACGGGGCGTCGGAGGGGCCGGCGCCCCTGTGGTGACGGAAGCCTGGAGGCAGGCGCGCGTCCAAACGCAGACGTTCTCGGCGGACGCTCGCCAGGCTCGCGGTCGGTGCGGCCAACCACATGAGCAATACTGTGCTGGAGAGTGAGAAGGGGGTGAGCAGCGAAGAGAGCTCTCTCTGGATCAGCTTTACTTGGTTACATTCAGTTCGGTAATCGAAAGGAAACGCAGGAAGAGGGGGGCAGACACTCCAATTACCTTTCTTTCCTTTTTTCTTTTTTAATTTCTGTGACACTGTATTCAAGGGCTTGGAGTCCAAGGTGAAGTTATGGCGAGCTTGGCTTTTCTCTCCCATTCGTCAAGGCCTTTGTCACTTTGTCACTTTGCCACCCCTGAAGAGTTTCTGGTCTTACACACACGGGTGGCAACTGAAGGGAAGTTTGACTCTCGCATCCTTTTTCTTTTTACCTCCCTTTTTTTTTTTTTCCTTCCATTTAAGTGTTTTGCTGGCTCATCAAACCGCACAACCAACCCACACAAAAGAACACTGAAAAATTGTTACTCTGTGAAATTAACCTACTTGTCCTGGGATGGATGGAATTTCTTTTAACCCTTTTGAGACAAGGTTAAGGCGAATCGGCCTTGCATGACTGGGGGGTGGGGGTGGGAGAAGGAAGAGGCATTGACTTTGTGCTCAAGTTTAATGGCTGAACCAAGAGTTGTTGGCATTACAACGAATCCAACTCCATCAAGTTAGAGTGCTCTGTTCTCTTGGCTCTTTAACTGTGCCCCTGCAAAATTGTTCAGAACGAAACCAGAAAATCTGCCTCTTTTGCACTGTAGATGTCTCTTCCATGTGCCAAATGTGAAGATTAGATGCTACAAACGAAAGCCAAATAAAAAGAAGTATCTGATAAAAGCATGGGTTAGAGGGCTTTCCTAATCTGTGTGAGGTCAATCCAAGGGATGTTTACATACTGTAGATAACCTACTTGAACAAAAATCGGTATTATAGAGAATAAATGGATGTAAGAAAATCACATGTATAAGTTTTGTATATTTGTTAATAATTTTGGTAATAAATATGATGTACTGCATCTCAGTACCCTAGCACTTCTTTTAATAAAAGTTAAATAGAAGGAAAAGTCTATTGCACATTTGTTTAATTGCGGAGCACAAAGATGGCCTTGTGATCTTGACCTAGCCTCAGGTTCCTGGGGCTGGAGCTGATTCATAAGGCAAAGGCGGCTGCAGAGAAGTATGACACTGTGCATTCTTTTCCAGTCGCTGAACACACGAATGTTGTGGTTCCAACTGTTAAGCTTTTCATGAACCGTCTTCATCCCCCCAACTCTGAAAAGAGTAAAGGATGGTTTGATGATAGCAATGATATAATGGTGAATTGTGCCATATTTTTCATTTTGTGAGAGGGTTTTCCACATAGCCACCAAAAGACAGGCCACTATGCTACTTTTATCTCTATTGGCAAATCAAATATGTACAAACATGTGTACAAATATATACGAAATCTGTACAGCTCACCGACACTGGGCGAGTTCACAGAAGGCTGGGACCATATTTTATTCATCTTTCCTTGCCCCATAATTGATTGTGAACAAGATAGTTTTCTGTGGGTCTTGTTTGTAAAAATGGTTCTCAAATGTTAATGGGTGTCAGAATCTCCTAGAACACTTGTTAAACAATAGCTTGTTGAGCGCTACCACCCTGGAGTTTCCAATTCATTTGATCTGGGGCATTTTGCATTTCTAACAAGTTTCTAGGTGGTGATGATGCCACTGGTCCAGGAATCAGACTTTGAGAACCTCTGTTGTATGGGCCACTCTCTCTCAAACACAGGAAGATTAGATTATCAGCCCGCTCGCACTGGAGCCCGTCCCATCCGTAGAATCTGTGATTTTTTTTTCCCCCAGTATAAAGGACAGTTTGGCAGAAGTGTGTGAGAAGGCTGAAGAGGGTCCAGGAGCCAGAAGGATGTGTTTTATGGTCTATTACATGGTACACTAACAGCCAAGCAAATTCTTATCGTCAAACTTCAGTAGACTAACCCTTTCTTCCCATGAAAGGCAGCTCTCGCACATCTGCTATGAGGGTAAGGTGTGATATAAAAATAAATAAACTTAGCAAAGAAAGAAAGAAAGCATGAACTTGAGTCCAAACCAGCCTCTACAACATACCAGTTATTTGAATGTGAGCAAATTAACCCCTATAACATTTTTCCTTTCTGTCACTAGCCCTGAGGATAATTTTGTGACTATTTCACTTTGTATTGCATGTGTTAAGGACTGGGAACAGCTGTTATCCTAACCACAGGAGGTTATCATGCCCCACATCCTGCAAATGTGGTACCCATGATACTGGGCTTGCAGTGATTAAACAATCTCCTGGAGCTTCTGGTCCCTGGGAGGATGTTTAATGGTGTGATACAGGAAGTGTGAGAGAAGCACAGAATAAGAGATCCATTTCAGCTCACACTCTAAGCTGAAAGAGACTCTTCCTCCAAATGAGTTTTAAAATTTCCTTTCCACTGCCACAGTTTACCAGAAATGCTGGTCCCTCTGAAAAGAAAACATTATCACCACCAGATGGAAGGCAGAATGTGATCAGGTTAGGCAAGAGAGCTGTAAAATTATTCAGCCATTGCTTTGTTAACAGGTAAAGGAGCTAGCCTATAACTTACATGTTGGGGGGAAACAGGAGCATCGGTAGGAATCAGTAAGACAGTCTGAAACCATTCTGGAACAAGAACACAAGCAAATAAAAATGATCAATGAATTTTCTGAAACAAACAGACTATCCCAACATGGCAGATGGCAAAGACAAAGATGGAATGGTTCACACACAAAAAAGTCTGTAAATCCTGGAATCAAAATTCAGACAAGCCAAAATCAGTGCAGGCACATTGATTACAGCTTGTTACTAGTTCACTAGTGATGCAGAACTGGACCTTGATGTCAGAACTCATAATATATTCTTCATAGGGCGCCTGGGTGGCTCAGTTGGTTAAGCGACTGCCTTCGGCTCAGGTCATGATCCTGGAGTCCCGGGATCGAGTCCCGCATCGGGCTCCCTGCTC